TGGTTTATGAAGGTATGTGGTAGTCTGCTTTTCTTTGCATGACAACATACCTGAGATACACAGTTTATAAGGACTCTCGGAGAGATTTATTTGGGTGCATGGCCTCAGAAGTTCCAGTCCATCCATGGTCAGGTGGCTGTGTTGCTTCCAGGCCTTTGGCAGAGTGTGTTGGTAGAAAACACATGACAGAGCAAAGATGCTCACCAGCTGGGGACCAAAGAGTCAGAGGAAGTGAGGGGCTAGAGTCCCAGCATCGCCTTGAGGAGACACTCCAATAATCTCACTCACCTGTTAAGCCCCAGGCCAAGCCTTGACACTTGGCTTTTGGGGGACCCAGAAGATCAAATCACAGCACATAAAAGCATTTCAGGAGACTTATAGGCACCATTTTCTCTGGTGATTTTATTTCTTATTATTTAGTAATAGTTTGATATACCTTTTGTTGTTAATTAGTAGACAGTTTAAAAATAGATGTAATCAAAAAGGGTCATCCCAGCATAGACATGGAGAAGTAGATGGACACCCCAACCCACCATATCTGAGGAACTGCTGGCAACAGGTGACCACTGGGAAGGGGAGAGTCAGTCTCTGTTGAGGGTGAGACTCTTGATAGGTTGACCAGGCTCTAGTGGATGAACACTGAAGGACATTTGGAGTCACAAATTTGACTAGATAAATGTACACACACATACACACACACACACACACACACACACACACACACACACACACACACACACACACACACACGATTTGAAGACAGGGTCTCCCTGTAGCCCCAGCTGGCCTGGAACCCACTGTGAAATTAGGTGAAGAAGGGTAGAAATAGGGGGGCAGATAGGGAAGGGGATCCAAATATGATCAAAATAGATTGTATGAAATTTATAACATCTCAAAACAAAAGGAAAAAAAATCTGTAATTTAAAAATAATTGGGGTTATATTTTTACAAATCTAGACATTCCCATCTACACTGCCTACAGATTTCTTGCCTGACGTCGATATTAGATGTAGCCTTGCTAATTCAGCAGCTCCACGGCAGCAGCTGCAGGGTATCATCCTTGGGATCATGTAACAAATGTGCTTAGACAAATCCGCGCCATGGGCCTTTTGTTTTGCAGCTTATTGACGTAGAAAATCCTGCAGTGTATATTATTTTATATCATTTTATGCATCTTTGTAATTGTCCTGTAGGATAAATTATTTTTAAGTAATTTCCAACATTAAATGGTTATATAATATTTAACAATATTTGCACTTAAAATATAGCCTCTAAAATATTTGAATTTTTAAATATAATAGTTAAAATTAAAAGTACAATTTAAATTTTTTCTGAGACACATCACCAAGTCACCTTCCACAAAGCAGATCTGTTCACCTTTGTTGTGTGGTGTATGAGACAGCAAATTGCCTCTTTCCACTCTCAAAGCTATACTTTTAAAATTTTAATGCTCCTTGAAAATCCACTATCTGTCTGCTTGTGGGCTAATCATCTGGACATCATTCCTGCTCGAGTCTCTAAAAATAATGGAAAAAGTACGCGTTATATTTTTAAAAATAGTCCTTATCTGAATTAACGAAATGTACAGAAGTTCTTAGATGCCAAAACCAAAATGAGAACATGAGTCCAGAAACTAAGAACGGCGAAAAGGCAGTTGCAAGTCACTGAGAACTTGGAAGTGAATTAAAAATGAATTATGTGTATGAGTGTGTTGTCTGCAAGTATGTAAGTGCACCTGTGTGCTACAATGTCTGCAGAGGCCAGAAAAGGGTGTCAGATCCCCTGGAATGGATGGTTGTTAGCTGTTTTTAGTGCTGGGAATTGAATCCAGGTCCTCTGCAAGAGCAACCAGTGCTCTTAATATATATATATATAATTTTTGTGTATTTCATACAGAAAATCATCTTTATATCTCCTTCCCTTTTGGCACCCTCCTATAGCCCCCTCCACTGAAGTTCATACATTCTGTCATTTGTGTTAAGTCCTATCATGTAGAGTTTGTGTCCCCAAATAGCCCTCAGTGCAAGTTCATCAATTGGGATCTAGTCAGCCTAGCTACAGTCCCTCCCTTTAAGAAGAGCAGCTCTTCCTCACCCAGCAGTAATCAACTACCAATAATTCTTTCACTAAGATTGGGGCCTGCTGTTCATTTCTACAGTTCTGTGCTGGGTTTTGTCTGCTTGAGTTTGCATGGGTCTTGTGCATGCTGACACCATTGCTGTAGGTTTGTATGAGAAGGGTCCCAGGTGCCTGTAGGACCATTTCTGTATGGTCATGCACCTCCTCCCTGGGTCTTACAATCTTTCTGCCCCCTCTTCTGCGATGGTCCCTAAGCCCTGGGTGCATGGATTTTAATATAGGAGTCCTGTCCGAGGACCCACACTCTGAAGACCCTTATTCTATGAATTTTGGCCATTTATGAGCTTTTACGTTCCTGGCCTTCTGTTGCATGAAGGAGCTTCACTGATGAGAATTGAAAGATGCACTAGTGTTCTCTTCATCCCTTGTTCTATGTTCTCTGAGCCTTAGGTGTCGAGGTTGCATCCTAGATGTGCCATTTAGACATGGGAAATTTGCAGACAATCTCTGTGTGTGACCAGTTGTGGAATTCTGTAATTATCAATGTCTCTTGAAAAAGAAGCTTCTTTGATGGGTGGTGACTAGAATATTTGTCTATAAATTTAAGGATCCATATTTTGCACATGGTAAGAAATTACATTTGTCTAGGGATGTGACAGCTTTGGAATTTTTTTTAAGATCTGTGACTTCTCCAGCTATGTGTATTTGGCTAGGTTTACAGTACCATACATGAGATTCCTCCCACTGAGTGGGCAGCAGCCAGTGCTCTTAACCACTGAGCCATCGCTCCAACCTCCTTATAAGTGAAATTTTAACCCCTGCACAGGTGCTTAGAGAGGAAGGACAGGTCTGTGGAGAAATGTTGGTACTGTATCCAAAGTCCATCACCTCTGAGGAGCTGGGGGCTCCGTGAACCAAGGACCAAGGCCAGCGATGGCTCACAAGAGAGAGAAAATGAAACTGTTTGCCTTTGTTTGGCCTCAGCCTTGGTTGAATGGGGAAAAGTTTTTCTCTGAGAATTGACAACTGTCGCCTAAGGGTAGGAATTCGTAACACAAACAAGGAACGAAAAACTTCAAGTAAGCAGAAAGTTTTGCTTAAAGAGGGTACCAAGGGTAACCCCCTCCCACCCCGTGCATGGCAGTTTAGAGAACATGCCTCATCGAGCCTGGAGGAGTCCTTCTGACAGAATTTCACATCCACAGTCATAGCATACACAAAAAGAACCAGAAAACCATCCACAAGATCAAGGCAGAGTCACACATAAAATAAGCTTGTTTTGGGGCTGGAGAGATGGCTAAGCAGTTAAGAGCACTGACTGCTCTTGCAGAGGACCTGGGTTCAATTCCCAGCACCCACATGGTGGCTACAAACTGTCCTTAACTCCAGTTCTGTGGGAATCCGACGCCCTCTTCTGACCTCCACGGCATTGCATGACACGGGCACACTCACATACATGCAGGCAATGTACTCATACACATAAAATAAAAATACTAAATAAAATATATTTTAAAAAAGAATAAGCTTGTTTTAGAAAAAACAATGAAGACAGGGTTTTAAAACAAGGTTAAGAAAGAATCAGCCATAAAAATAACCTGTTAGGTTCTAGTTAAAGGATCAAAAAGAATTTGTAGACTCTGAAAAAATGTACACATCAGAATATTAAAGGGAAAAGGATCTTAAAAGGAAAGAGCAGAGAGAGCCGACAGATGGAGTGACAGTTAGGCCGCAGCTGACTTCTGGCTGTAGCAAAGCAAGACAAAAGACAGGATAATGCCTTCAGAATGCCGAGAGGCAGTAAGTCAGGCTGAAACAGCGTGCTCAGCAAAACTGTCTTTCAAGAAAAACATCGTTGCATTGAGAAGCCAAACAAAGTTAAAAGTTGATTCTTTGAAAAGAATATCAAAATTGACAAACTTCTAGCCAGAAAAAAAAAAGGCAATAAAATATAAAGGAGAGAATGTTCCCAATACCATGAAGTTAAGCAATGGATAGTCACATAGCCTAGGCTGACCTCCAGCTGGCTATGTAACTGAGGCTGACCCCAAACTTTTAGCTCTTGGTCTTCCTACCTCTACCCCCAAGTGCTAGGATGACAGGTGTGCACCACTACTTCTGGCTCTCAACACATATTTACCGAGTGGCACAACATTAACATTTTGTAGGCCCTGGGTGGAAACAATATAGAAAATAAGGGGAGACTATAAAGATGAAGCTTAAATACTAGTGGGAAATAGCAAACAGCAAATAACTATGCTTTTCACATAATGCTATCATAAATACTAAGAAGAAAAATGTACTAAAAAGAATCCAGAGCAACGGGCACAGAGTGTTTTTCTTGTGTGCTCTGTGACTAGAATTGAAAGTCCTGAGTATTTATCAAACATTCTAATGCTGGGGCTGGAGAGATGGCTCAGTGCTTAAGAGCACATACAGCTCTTGCAGAGGTCCTGGGTTCAGTTCCGAGCGTCTATGTTTGGCAGCTCTCAACCACCTGTTAAGTCCAGCACTCAAGGATCTGATGCCCTCTTCTGGCTGCTGCAGACAATACAGGCAAATGAACCTGTGCACACGCAGACATACACATATACACACATGTACACATAAATAAAAATAAGATAAATCTTTTTAAAAAAGATTTCAATCTAGTGTGGTCATTCTCCAGAAATCTAATTCAAATTTACTTAGAGAAGAAAGCAGTGTTATAAGAAAAAAAGCTTACATAGAATAATATATAGAATGTTTAGTTTAAAAGGAAGTTTAGTTTTGTAAATAAAACAAATTGTCACAGCTTGTTCTTTAGCAGAAATTAATAGTACGTGCCCTTAATTGTAACTACATATTTCTTTTTCCATGATAATGACATCACAGAACTGTGATAAATACCAAGAACTCTGACATGCCCATATCTTCCCCTTCAGGTTGCTGACACCACGTCTGTCCTAAGACCTTTTAATATCTTGCCTGTGAAGACAAAATGGAATCACATTGGCTTTCACGTTCTTCTGTTTGATCTGGAAAACCTGGTTGAATTGCTGTTGCCCCTGCCTCCCAGCGATGGTGACCATTCTGGCTCCTTTTATGGAAGTGACATCCTGAGAAGAGCCAGGAGCACAGTGGAGAAGAAGACACTGACCATGAAAAGAAACAAAGCTTCATGCAGTTCTCTGCAGGCTGAGGCACAAGCCAGGTCTGGCGGTGACAGCCTGGGTCACAGGGACAGCACCAACAGATTCACAGAGGACACGGATGGCATTAAAAGACAGAAGAAAGCAAAGAGCCCCCAAAAGATGCATCCTAAGCCACTCAGGAAGATGGACACCAACCTCATCATAGACACTGCCAAGCTGTTTCTCTCTTGCATTTTGCCCTGGGGAGTAGATAAGGAGTTGGACAATCTCTGCTCCAGGCATCTCAATATCGTCAAGCTACAGGGTCCCGTGTCTCTGGGACTTGCTGCAGATCGAGACCTCTTCTCCCTGATGCTGCCTGGCTGGGATGCATGCAGCTCTGAAATGAACAAGTGTGTCAGAGCAAATCTGTTTTCCAGAAAAGTCTTGGACTTGTCAAATAAATACACAGCCACTCTTGCCAACAGAGCTGGAATACCAAGAGGCCTGGGAAACCACTGTGATTCTTTGCAAGAATCAAATACGATACTCTATTTACTGAGCAGGGTATTTATAGTTAATAAGTTAGTTAACATGCCTTTAGAATTGGCCTGTGAAATCGACAGGTAAGATGTGCTGGTGATGCTGATTGTAATGGGGACATTAAGGCCATTATTCTCTGTTTTCAGCAGCCCTGTCTTCCTTCTGATGGGGGCAGGCTTAGATATACAACTATTTTAGTTCAAAACCATTTTTAAAAAAGGTTTTCCATTAAGTCTCTGGGTTGGACACACTTGGCAGTACATCTATATGTTTAAAATTAATTCATTTGGTTTGGGGAGATGACTCAGTGGATAAAGTACCTGCCATGAAAATATGAAGACCTGAAATTGAGTCAGCACATATGAAAGCCAGGTATGGCCGTGTGCCTGTAACCTCAGCCCTGCAGGTGCAGAGGCAGGATTTCTGGAACTGGCTGGCCAGCTAGTCTATCAGAACCGATGTCTCTAGGTTCAGTGAGACATCTTGTCTCAAAAAGTAAGCTGAAGCATGATCAAGGAAGGCACTCAGAGTTGACCTCTACCCCCCATATGCATATGCACACACATGTTGTATGCACCTAGATGCACACACATGAATCGTACATACATATGTACATGAATGAAAGAAAAGTAAAAATTAATTTAATAAACAAATATCCATTATATATATAATATGTAGTAGAAAAATCATAAATCTAGATGCTGAATGAGGGCATAGGGGAATTGATACATATGTATGTAGGTATATACATGTACATACATGCATATGCATCTTGTAATCAGTTTTACATGGTATGAATTAAGTATGAACAAAGAATACATAAGTGCTTGCGATGGTATAACTCATAAGGAAAGGCAAAATTTTTAAATTTCTTTAAAAAAATTTTTATTTATTTTTATTTTATGTGTATGAGTGTTTTGCTTGAATGTATGTAAGTGCACCCCCGTTGTGCAGAGCCCTTGGAGGCCAGAAGAAGACATCGGATCCCCTGGAACTGGAGTTATAGGTGGTTATTAGCTGCCATGTGGCTGCTGGGAATCGAACCTGGGTCCACTGGAAGAACACCCAATGCTCTTAATCTCTGAGCCATCTCTCCAGCCCAAAGTTGAAAATTTCATATCTTGTGACCATGGAGTTTATATTTTCCTATTGAAGTAGAGTGGATTCAGTAAGTCATCGTACAAAGCAGGGTTCAGCAATAAGACAGTTGTTGTTTAATACTGGCTAATCCCTGTGCATTCCCTCTACATAGAGCTTGGATATAAGCTCTCCTGCTCATTGTGTGGTTGAGGATAGGGAGGCTTACCTAAAGGAAGAATTAAACCCACATGTAGCTCAGCTCCTGAGAGGCTGGTGTAAGGCTAAGCTACAGCAGAGCACCTTAAAGCTGTTTGCTTCTCCCCCTTCTGAAACTTAGCAAACGTACATTGATCATTGTGAAGTTATCCAGTTGAATTCAGCTCAACAAATACTTATTAAAATATGCCTGCATCTTATTGCCCACGGAAGAAATGTAAAATAAATTTATGATTTAGGTAAGAACTCATTCAAATGATAAAAGTCATGGCATATAAAACAAATAGGCCTCGGGAGACAGAGGCAGGTGAATCTTTGCGAGAGCGAGGCCAGCTAGGTCCCTATAGTGACTTTCAGGTGGGCTGGGCCTTTGGAGGTCTTGTCAAACAAGCAAAGAAGCAAACAACAAACAGAAAACAAAACAAATAGGAAACACTGAAATAAAATAAAGGACTGAGGAGAAGCGATGAGTGGTGAAGGTGTGGGAGGGAACTAATTGGTGTGAGGTGGTTCCTGGAACTGCTCTGAACAGAGACTGAACTGCAGACTGCATGATGGGAGGTCTGTCATATCTGTGCTTTGGTAAGAGTTCAGTTCGGCAAGTATTTGCCCCAGGCTCTGTGTAATAGAGTTCCTGCTCTGAGTGCGCTTCCAGTGTGTTGGGAGTTCAAACAGATTCCAAGAGCCTAGCACTCCTCTGCATCATGGTGCTTCTATGCCATAGGGTTTTTAATATTCACTTTATTTTTGATAATAATAGGAAAGCCAATTCAGGAGTTTCTATTTCAAATGAACAATTTTCCGTTATTTTCTTTTGTTCATCTTAAATGTCCCAATTTCACCCTACCCACTGTGTACTTAGTTTAAAATTTAAGATAGACTTTTTAAAAAACCACTTTCTTTACTTTCTGTTACTAATAAATCACACAACAACAAAGTATGGTGAAAAAATGTAATCAGTCTCAAGTCTGAAGACCTAGGAGTGATCCCTCGTTCTACCATTACACTGCGTGACTTTAGACTTGCCACTTTGCCTCTCTGAGCTTTACTTTTCTGATTTACAAAGTCAGGTGGGGAATAATTGATCACTAAAATTTCTTCAAATTCTCAAAATCTTGGACTACTAACAAATCTCATCATCCTGATTGTGATCAGACAATCAGAGACTGGGCTATTGCTTGCCAGAGATTTTCATTCAGAGTTCATTCCTAATACAGAGTCCAGGGTAGAAAGGGTGTTTGGGGTACTGGGGAGGTCCTGTGGGAGCTTTCAGGAGCTTTCAGCATGCTTATCACTAAAGGGTCTTAAAAGGTTGCCACAAAATACTCTATTCTTCATAAAAACTGTCTGATAAAACCCCGGGATGCAAGTGTCACACTTAGCGCCTGCTTCTTTAAATCAGTCACTCCAAATTTGATCTTTTGGAGTCTGGATAGCGTGTTTTATTGAGAAATCAAAATAATATGTTATTGGATATGTCATACCAAATCCTTCCAGCAAATTTGTCCATCTCGCCAACACTTTATTGTAGCTGAACAGGCTGAGAAATCACTGTGTTCCTACCAGCTGCGTGTGTAGCTGCCTTGAATTCTAAAGAAACAGCTGGCTGCCTGTGACAGCATCCCTGGCTGCCTCTGAAAACTCCCAGATGGAATCACTGTCCCAGTGAGAATAGGATGGTACCTGGGGAAGTTCTCTGGCAGATGTCAACATTAGGATTCCAACATTGGTTGACACGGTCTGATATCATGTTCTACCACAGTAAGACCTTTACTGCAAATGTGGGTCAGAGTTCATCCTGATGAACAAACATTGTCAGTTCAGTTGGGGTTTAGATTGATGGAGGATCAAAGTAGGGAGGTAAGATATGGGAGATACTGCTAAAAATAACTTGTGTTCAATCCCCAATTTGCCAAGATACACCCATATCTTCAGTTTATTTTTCTCAAAGTATTTTTCAACTTTAATATTCTTTAAATCTTTTTTTCCAACAGATGCTTCAAAATGGAATCAGTACATAATAAGTTTAAATGTTCTGGAAATGATATTTTGAATATATCAAGCTTCTGTGGTTACTTAAGAAATGGTAAGAGAGTTACTGCTACAGATAAGATCTGGTGTATTTTTCTTAAATACAAAATAGTACTTCTATAACTGGATAGCAGTGTTAAATACATTATAAAACACAAGAATTGTACCTAAAAGTCTTGGAAATATCTGGATATTAAAGTCTTGTGTGACTTATTAAAAGTATTGTATCAGTATATTTAAAAAATTTTTATTTTTATTTTTTTGTGTGTATTTTGCTTCCATGGATGTATGTGCACCACATGTGTGCACTTCTCAGGCAGGTCAGAAGAGGGTACCATACCCTGTGGAACTAGAGTTACAGAAGGTTGTGAGATGCCATGTGGGTGCTGGGTCCTCTGCAAGAGCAGCAAGTGGTCTTAACTTCTGAGTATTCTCTCCAATCCTGCATCAAAATATATTTATTACAAAAAAGATGCTATTGGAGTGTTCTATTGCTATTTCAGGAGGCTATATTCACCGAGTACCAATCTTGAACTCTTCCACATGATAGTCTCAGTGTTTAGACTTTCTTTTGATGTCAAATGTCCAATTCGTCTCCCAAGTTTACCTGTTCGTGTCTTCAACGTTCCAGCTGCCACTGTCTCAGTCTGGCTGCTCAGGTCATGCCACATTCACTTTCACTCGCTCCCATATCCCATATCCAATCTTTGAGTCACCCCGTTGGTTCCACATACTCTTGACTGTTTATTCTTCAGCAACATGACACGACAAACAGGTCATGAGACCTCAGCTTTGGCTGTTTCTGTGCCTGGATGAATCCTTCCTTGGATCCATTCTGCTCTGCCCCCTTCCACTCGTCCTCATCCTTCAAGTCTTTCTCAAGTGTCACTTACACACCAAAGATACCCCATGTCCCCCAAGAACTCCTACCCTTTCCTTACTGCACTAATGCTCCATCACTTTTTCCAGTGGTACCTGAGTTTTTCCATTTTAAGGACAGTGTTATTCAGTTAGTCTCAGTTCCTTAACCGATGACCAGAAAGAATTGTGCAATACTTTAGACTAGTATGTGGATGAAATTAACAAGTGAGTAGAACTTAAGGATAAGTACTGAATATAAAAATGTTTGTGAGAAGAATGAAATAGCTGCCCGAGGTTCAAGGTCCAGCTCTGCTGTTTGCTGGTTGTATATCTTGTACGTGTATTTCACGTCTATAAAATCCCTATTTAAAATGAGAATAAGGTTTCAGACTTGATACACATCCTACCTCCAAAGCTGAGCAGTATCTGATCTAGTCATGCTGCATGGTGGCCCTGCCAGGCTATTGTAAAGAATGCTTACAGTACTTTTAGACAGAGTTTACTAATATCTTTTAATTACTCAGTGCTTAATGTTCTGAGAATTACATTAATGGTTTACATATGAAATCTCATTTAATGTAGAAAGAACCTTATACAGTGAATGTATAATAACTTCAGAAAAAACAAGGTTCATCAGATTTAGATAAGTGTTCTTGCTACTTTTTCTATGGCTGTGATAAAACACTGACCAAAAGCAAGTTGGGGAGGAAAGGGTTTATTTCATCTTACACTTCCATGGCACAGTCCATCTTTGAGGAAAGTGAGACAGGAACTTGAGGCAGGAACCTGGTGGCAAGGACTGAACCAGAGCCCATGGAGGAAACTTTACTGGCTGGTTTCCTCCTGGCCTACTCAGCTACTTTTCTCATACATCCCAGACCCACCTGTCCAGGGATGGCACCACCTACAGTGTTTTGGGCCCTCCCACATCAATTAGCAATCAAGACCATGTCTCACAGATATGCCCGCAGAAAATTCCTCACATGTGGTATGTTCTTCCCAGGTACTCTAGCTGTGTCAACTTGACAAAAGCTGGCCATTACAATGACTTACTTAGAGTCCAACTTTGGCTAAGCCGTGCAGGCATTTGCATACAATTTGATTCTGGATTCCTCACCTCCATTTCATTTTTTCCCCTCTCTATTGAATAGCTCTTCACTTAAGACTGGGTTGCCTGCTTTCTTCCTAGATAATAGCTCTTATAAAGGTTATTTACTCAGTTTTCTTTATTTTTTTAATATTTATTTCATTTTTATTTATGTGTGTTGCTAACCTGAGCTCTGGAAGCCCCACCTCCAGTGATTCCAGAAGTGAAGTAGCCTTAGGAGCAAGTGTTACCACTGAACATCTTGCTATTTTGGTGACATTGGTAATAAATAAGATTAAATTAGAGATAGAGAGCACTCAGTGAACAAAATGCTTGCTATTCAAGTACAAGGACCTGAGTTCAAATCCCCAGTACCCAGGCATGACAACACATGCCTGTAACCCTGGTGCTAGGAAAGGGAGACAGGAGGAACCTTGAAGCCTGCTGGCTGCCGGCCTCATCAGGAATATCCCTATGTACAACTGGGACCGCCACACATGTATATACATGTGCACATGAACATACATACACACACCTATGCACACATACATCACATGCGTGTGAGCAAGCACACACTTTAGAGACTAAAAACTTTTTTTCATAATAGAGAGATAAGAGATAAAGGAAAAGATTTACTTCTTGGTATTAATTTTATAAAGGCAAATCCTGAAAAATGAAATTACACCTTGAAGCTCTCTTTTTCAAAGGCTTGAGATGAACCAGTACTCCCTCCTGTGGCAAATAGAGTGACTGAGTGACGCTGGCCAGGCTGGATATTTTCTTCTCATCTTTACCCCCGAAGTTGCAATTAATTCTATGACTTACAGATACTGCCAAGAAAAGTTGGCTTTCACGTCCATCACATATTAAAATTTTAACATCGCATTAAAACATACCATGCCCTGCCTTATGGTGCCAACAAGTGGTTACAGTTGGGACCAAGACTGAACTTTGAAGGTTGAGCCACAAGGTCGACTAGATGAGGGTGGGAGAGAAGGAAGAGATCAAAAGAAAATCTCACTTTCTGTGCTCATGGAAAAATGTGAACTGTGGCTTTGGGATCATAGTGTTCTATCACACTGGTTTGTGCTGTTGCTGGTTATTTCAAATTCCTGTCACAGGCTCCTTCAGAAAACCCATACTAATACTCGAGCATTTCCCATAAATTTCCTTCCATACTCTTAATTCTTCATATTCTTGTTGCATTACACTGGGCTGGAGAGAGCTAGCTCAGCAGTGAGGAGTACTTGTTTCTCTTCTCGAGGAATTGGCTTCGATTCCCAGCAGCCATGTCCAGTAGTTCACAACTACCTGTAACTTCAGCTCCTGGGTCTCTGACACTTCTGGCCTCTGTGGATACCTGCACTTGTCTGTACACACCCTCAGACATATATCTATACACATAATTAAAAATTAAAATTAAATATTTAAAAAATTTCATTATGGGCTGAAGAGGTGGCTCAGTGGTTCAGAGTACTGGCTGCTCTTGCAGAGGACCTGGGTTTGAGTCCCAGCACCCACATGGTGGCTAACAACCATCTGTAACTCCAGTTCCGGGGAATCCAATGCCTTCTTTTGACCTCCTCGGGCACTGCATGAAATGGGTGCACCTACATGCATGCATGCAATATACACATAAAATAAAACAAAAATGATAAAAATTGCATTATATCTAATATAGTTTATCAACCTTTCTATATAGAATTATTCAAACAAAACATATTGGACAAATACTAATATAACTATGCATATGCATTTTATAGACAGTTTGTTTCTATAAAAATGATTCAAACAAAATATGTAGGACAAATTCTAACATATAATATGGTATGTATATAATTTATTTCTGTATAGAATGATTCAGATATACAAATCTCAATAATTGTTGCCAGAATGCCAAATATATGTATGTTAATTTAATTGGTTTTTATTATTTTTATTTTACCTGTATGTATGTAAGTGCAGCCGTGCTGGCAGAAGAGGGTGTCAGATCCCCTGGAACTGGCGTTACATATGGTTGTTAACCACTATGTGGGTGCTGGGACCTAAACCTGGGTCCTCTGCAAGAGCAGCCAGTACTCTTAACCGCTGAAGCATCTCTCCAGCCCCTGATGGGTTAATATTTGTAGACAGCTAGAGCAGCGATTTTACCAAGGTGAAGGCCCCCGCCACGTTTCCTTATCTCACTCTCAGGACCTGAGGCTTAAGTAATATCCTTCACCCATCAGAGAGTCTTAATTCATCAATTTTTTTCATTTAGGTAGTCATATGTACATTTTCAATTAATGAACAGGCACTTATTAAATGCTTTATTGGGCAGGGAACTTCTGGGCACCACATGGATCAATTTAAATTGACCAAGTCCTTCCTTACTCCTAGGACTGTCCACTGGACATTGAGGCAGAAGTAGAAAGGACATTGAGGAGGCCATCTTAGAAGAAATGATGCCTAATGAAGAGTCAGACTAAAGTGTTTGTGCTCTATTTATTGTTCAGAGTGGAAGGGCAGGGTGAGGAAAAGCAAAGGTATTCTTTGACGTTACCTCTGAGAGATACTGACTCGTAGCAAGACCGACCTATAGGAACTTCTGTATGAGAAAGGAACTGAAAAATCCAGTGATTTGTCCTAGGTTGGCAAAAAGGCACAAAGATGGATTTCAAGTGTAACAATAAGTGGGATTTGGCATGAGTTTGTGTTAACGTAATTACCCTGGCCATTTATGAAAACCATCTGAGGTAGTTTTAGGACGTGTTAATGGCTGCCTATTCTCATCCTGGGGCTACATCAGACTCAAGGAAGTTGAACCTGAGCATTGTTATTCGTAAAAAGTGTCTCAGCTGAGGCTAATGTGCAGACAGGCTTGGGGAATGTGTGTGACATTAATAAGAAGTGTGTTCTGTGCATTTCCAGGTAAGAATGAGTGCCACACAACTGAGGCTGACCTGTCGCTTTTGAAGCTAATGTCCTGCTGGAGAGACCAGTCTGTGCAGGTTTGACATAGTCTACATGCCTGGTTTATCAGAGTTTTCTTCTGCGCTAAGTTTCCTTGATTTTCCCACCCCATTCCTGAGAATGCAAGTAGGCAATTTTATTCTGGGCCTGCCAAGATGGCTTTCTAGAACTTTCCTTTCACCAGAGATCAGGCAAACCATGGAGACATCCCATAAGCAAGGGTGTGCCAAGGTGGGAGCAGAGAGGAGGGAGGGGTCATGCTGACAGAGTGGCTCCCTTTCTTACCGGATTCAGTTTGAAGCAGAAGAATTTATTATTTGATTCGCTCTGTGCTGAGATGTGATTCAGCCTTTACTTGGGGAGATTAGAGGCCAGGTTTCCACCCTGCACCTCCCTCATCTGTGATCTCATTTAGAGAGAGCACTTTTTCAGTGTCCAATTGAAGTCCCACTTTTAACTTCTCTTTGAGTCTAAGAAGGTTTCTGGTAGTTTCAAACATTGTACAGTGAATATATAAGTACCAATTAGAAGACTTTGTGTTATAATTTTATTTCCCTACATGAACTTGGTATAAATTTCAAGACATAATTGAAATAACTCCAACTAAAAATGGCTATTCTAGGTTATAGGGAAACCAAGAAAGTTAAGTCAAAACAAGCTCTGGATGTTGACACCATAAAATGAAACACACAGAGCGAAGATAGGAATTGTTTTCCTGACCTCCATGTTTCCACACGGCTGACCACATCCTACCCTCACTTCCATCACTTCCCACCTCCATTCATACCACTTTGCCTTCTTCTTACTTCTGGAATATACAGTTTCCCACAATGTTACTGTAAGGGCTGGAACTCATATTTTCCTCCTTTTCACCAAGGCCTTTGCTCAAAGGGGCCTTATTAGCGAAGTCTCCCTAACCTCCACAACGGCAGTTACTACCAGCCCCCAACCCCACCCCACACCTCCAGTTACTGCCACAGGATCAGCTCTGTTTGCTTTCTGGCAATGGTTTTTGGGTTTTTTGTTTTGTTTTGTTTTAACAGAAATACTACCTGCATTTGACTTGTTTATTGTCTACTTTTCACTGTGTATCAGTTTACTAAGGACGGACACTTGTCCGTCTCACTTAGCCTGCTTACCAGTGGTCTTCAGACTCTAGTGAGTCTGAATTAATGTATCACTAATTGTTAATGATTCATTAATCACTAATTAATGTATCATTGTGTAGTCTTCAACAATCAAAGTAAACACTTATATGTGCCAACTTCACCAGAATATTAGCAGTCACTCACAAAAAGCCTCTCTTATTTGGAAAAGTGAGGTTTGTTTCCCCCAAGTAGCCAAAGAATCCCTGAATGGGGAACATAAGGAAAAAAAATTAACAAAACCTTTGTCCTGAATCTGAAGATCTTTTGTGGCTGTTCCTTTAACTCCCCACTACACTTCCATATGGTTTGGTCCTGTTACTGGAGGGAGGATCCCCACAAGCAAGGATGTAGCACGTGGGAGCAGTGAGATGGTTCAGCTGGGGAGGTGGGTTGATGCTGGCAGAGGTGACCTCATTTGATGGGGTTTCAGTTTGAAGCAGAAATACTTACTTGGTTTGCAATGTGCCATGACATGAATTGGCCTTTGCTTGGTATTTACTCATATGAAATTTGGAGCCATGTACACTTGAAGGTGCTATGATGCAAAGCCTTGTAAGAAGCATTCAGCAGCCTGGTGACTCCACAGAGTTTGCTACACATTGCTTGGGAAGTCCAGCCCCCCTTCCTTCTTGTCTCTGGAGGAGAGGGTTAGTGTCATTTTGTTTGTTGCTTATAATCTGTCTCATAAATGGAAACTTTCTGGGCTGACTGTAACAGCAGAGGTCCATACATGTACCCATGCTCCAATAGCCAGCCCATAGATTCTTGGGAATGTTTAATCTCAACAGTTAGTTGGATCACATACACTTGAATTTACTTACTTTTTATAGATTTTAGCAGCACTAAGCAGTAACAAAATACTTCTGAGCAATATCCAACTTTAAAAGTTGAATGTTTACATTTAAGAAAGAAAGAATTTGTTAATTTTACAGATGAATTCATCTGTCCACAAATTCTCTTTCTGTTTCTCTCACATAAAAACAACCAGGGGCTGGAGAGATGGCTCAGCAGTTAAGAACACTGGTTTCTCTTACAGAAGACCTGGGTTCAAATCCCAGTACTCACATGGCAGCTAACAACTGTCTGTAACTCCAGTCCCAGGGGATCCGACAGCCTCTTCTGACCTCCGTGGGCATTGCATGACATGGGTGCACTGACCTACATGCAAGCAATACATGCATACACATAAAATAATAAAAATAATAAAAAAATTAAGGGAAAAAAACAGTCAATAAAAATTAACCCTGGATAAGAAGCAGGAGAATGTTGGGTACTATTTTCAGGTTTGGGGAGCCTTCTGTTGTTTTATTTGAATTTTATTATCATGTGCCTGTGGGTGTGACTTATGACACCGGGCCTTGGGAGAAAGTCCTGGTTTTCTGGTAAACACTGGAAAGACCTCAGGGTCAGCAGGAGCTATGGTTAGGAAAATGCTGTCATCACAACCCCACACTGGAACCTGAGTACAGAATGGGATTCTTCTGTGCCTTCATGAATCTGGATGCTATCTTACAGACTGTGACTGTTCTAAGGTTTCAATGGAATACCATAACAGGATTTAGTTTCTAGAATACAGTACTGCATAATAAAAAAAATGTAGTAAAAAGTTTATAGGCTAGAGAGATGGCTCAGTGTGTAAGAGCACAAGCTGCTCTTGAAGAGAACCCAAGTTTGTTTCTCAGCACCGTCATAGCAGATAACAACCATCCCTAACTTCAGTTCTAGGGGATCCAGTGCCATCTTCTCACCCCTGTGGCCATTGCATACATGGGTACACCTAATATATGCAGGCAAAACACTCATACTCATAAAATATATACCAATAGGGATGAGAGATGGTTCAGTGGTTAAGAACACTGGCTGCTTTTGCAGAGGACCTGGGTTTGGTTCTCAGCACCCACATGGCAGCTAGAAGCCATCCATTTCAGAGGATTTGATGCCTTCTTCTAGCATTGCATACATATGTACACTTACATTTATGCAGGCAAAACACTCATACTCATAAAAATAAACTAATAATAATAGTAGCAAGCTTATATCCAGATTTGTAGCTAACTGACCAGCCAATGACTTTCACACCTTATTTTAATTCTCTACATCTCCCTCCTAAAGAAGTACAGTACTTTCCACATCTAACTTTTCAGACAAATTTATTTATATGCATTGGGAAGACAGTTTTATCATCATAGTGCTAAATTCCAGGTAATTATTAAAATCAAAGTTATATAAAACACTAAAATTTTGTCATTTTGCAGAATGTTCTAGTCCTTTTATAATATCTCGACAAAATTTATCTTGCAATACCCATATGCCAAAGGAACTTAAGCTTTGGTAGTTAAAGGCTGGCAATAAATTCTGCTTTCTACAATTTATATGTTTCAGGTGTGCAGAGTAGCATCTATCTAGTGCCTATTGCATACCAGATTCTGTGATAACATTATTGCATGTGTTTAACAGGAAACCATTGTTTCTGGGTGGTATTGACTTTGAATATCGTCTTCACACTGAGTCTATGACGTACACTTAGTTTTAAATTGAGTGTGATTCATTCACTATTCACTTGGGTTTGGTTCCCAGCACCCACATGGTGGCTAACAACCATTCATAACTCCAGTTCCAGGGGCTCTGACTTTCTCTTCTGATCTCCATGGACATTGCATGCATATGGTACACTTATATACGTGTAGGTAAAACACTCATACACATAAAATAACAAACAATAAATCAAATAAATCAAAACAGTCTTTTTTTTCAGTCTTTTTGAGACAGGGTCTCTCTGTAGCCCCAGCTCTCCTGGAACTCACTATGTAGACCAGGCTGGCCTTGAACTCACAGAGATCTGCCTGCCTCTGCCTCCCGAGTGCTGGGATTAAAGGCGTGCGCCACCACGCCAGATTCATAAGGATCTGGAATAATATTATTCATGAAAGACAACTTTTCCAGGTAACTGAAGCAATCCAAGCTGTCCTCTTAGCTGAAGTTCGACAGCACGTGAGGAGTTTGAGAAATATGTCAGTCGATAGTCAGCTGGTCCCCACAGCAGAAAGCATCGGTGAGAATACGAAGATGTCACCCAAGATGGAATGGGTTGAAGAATCAAAGTTACAGTGTGTCAGAAATGCATTGCCTTTGCAAGGTAAGTGCACAGTGTGTCAGCCTGCTCCGTATATAAAATTTTTGTACTACTTAGAATGTTCTAAGAATATAAGTTCAAAGTATATTATTTCTTCATGAGCCAAGCTAAATGCCCCATTTCTGACCTATTCTGTTATGAATTTGTTCATATAATTGTCATGTTTTTAAAGAACATCTAGATTCTATTATAATCATAAATATTTTCTAGAAGGAAAGTTTGTATTATTTATGAGACTGTTTTGAAGTTAAGTGATTACAAATGAAGACAAGGAGCCTGGCATGGTGGCCCATGCTTTTAATCACAGCTCTTGGGAGGCAGAGTCAGGCAGGTCTCTGTGAGTTCAAGGCCAGCCTGGTCTACCGGGTGAGTTCCAGGCCAGCTGGGGCTACAGGGAGACCTTGTCTCAAAAAGACCGAAAAATAAGCAAACAAAAACAAGTAACAAATGAAGACCAGGGTCTGGGGATGCTCTGTCAGTAAAGTACTTGCTGAACAAACAAGTGGACCTGAGTTCAGATCCCAAGAACCCTCACAAATCACCAGGCTCACTGGTTTGTGTCTAATAACCTCAGTGCTGGGTGGAGGATGGTAGAGTAACAGCAATGGCAATACCCTGTATTATTGAGGAGGGGATTTCTGGGATACCCCTGACTAGTAACTTGAAGATAGGTGTCCCACATCTGGTACTGGGCTGTTTATTTGACAACCTATGACTTTGGGGAAGAACATTATCCCCTAACTACAATTGAGCTCATATATATGAAGCCTATAAAATTTTAGTTTTCATGTGTTTTTTTTTTCAAATAACTTTAGTGTTAGCTCTGTCCCCAACCCCTTCTCCACTCTACCTTCCCATCCCTTCTCCCACTTAAACCCCTGTTGCTGTTTTTCCCTTTCCTGTTTCACGTGTGTTCTATTATCACCCCATACTTAAGGTCTTTCTTTCCAACCTCCCCACCAACTATCCAATTCTAGTTTCCGGATTCTAAAGGTGCTCCAATTTATCTACACAAATCTACAGATTTGGTGCTAAATCTGCATATGAGTGAGAACACACAGCGTTTCTTTTTCTGGGTCTCGTTACATCACCCAGTATAATGTTTTCCAGTTCCATTCATTTACCTGTGAATTTCATAATTTCGTTTTTCTTTATAGCTGAATAAAATTTCGTTGTGTACAGAATAGGTATTACATTTTCATATCCATTAACTGGTTTATGGACATTTAGGCTGTTTCCACGTGCTGGTATTGTGAACAGGGCTGCTGTGGACATGGGGATTTATTTTAAATTATGTGGATGTGTGTTTCTGGGGGTACATACATGTGAGTGCAGGCACATACACCAGCCAAAAGAGAGTGTTGGATCCCTTGGAACTGGAGTTATAGGCAGTTGCGAGTCACCTGATGTGGGTGCCGGGAACCCTACTTGAGTCCTCTGCAAGAGCAGCAAGGAATGTTAGCCACTGAGCTAGCTCTCCAGCCTGTCTTCTCATTATTTTTATGATTAATCAGAAAGTATTATTTGGTGAGAGAGGAACCAACAACAATAAAAACAGGTGGATTATTTTCTTAATGCCAAGACAGAATGTGATTGTGCAAATTTCAATAACATGATTTGACAAAGATAGATGGCTCTTTCAAGTCATTAGTTTTGTAGTTTGACAGAAAACAATTTAATCATCTGGTAAATATACCTCTGTAAAGGAACTCATTTTTATATTATATAATCGTAGCTGCTTTACTAGTTTTCAAGTAAGTAGAAACACTCTTTTACCCTTAATTTTCAGCAAATACATTTGAATTCTCTCTCTCTGTGTGTGTGTGTGTGTGTGTGTGTGTGTGTGTGTGTGTATGTGTGTGTGTGTGTGTGTGTATGTGTGTGTGTGTATGTGTGTGTGTGCGTGCTTGCATGTAAAGGCCAGAGGACAACCTTGGGTACCATTCCTCAGGCACCTGTCCACCTTCCTAGTTCTTGAGACAAAGTCTCTTACTGGCCTGGCACTAGCTAAGTAAGCCATGCTGAAGGGCCGGGGAGCCCCAGGGATCCACCTGGCTCTGCCTCCTCAATGCTGGCATCTCAAGCCTGAACCACCATGCTTGACTTTTTTACTTGAGTGTTGGGAATTAAACCCAACTCCTCATGCTTGACAGGCAAGCACTTTATGAGCTGAGCTGTCTCTCCAGCCCATGTATTGGAGTTCTTGATTCCTATGCCTAGCCACTGAGCATAATGGGCAGTTTCTTCCAGTTGGGCTGAGAGCCAAGGCCAAGGTGTGAGCACTCCTGCAGGTGGTATGTGTAAGACTTCTCCTGAGCCTTGTATTTACATTATTCATTGAATATGTAAATACATTGGTTAATGTAAATACATTGAATAATGTAAATACATTGCTTGCTCAGAGCCCTCTGCTCTGAGCAAGGAATTCTGGGAAGACCATCAAAGTCAAATGTCAGCGATCCACTGTTATAAAGCTCACTTGCTTACTCACACTTAAAGGGTCATCAGCTTTCACCTGGTTCTGTCTGCATTGATTCTCAGGTGTAGAACTGCTGTGCTATGGTCTCCCTGACCACAGACACTTGGGTTTCAGTCAGGAACAGTATCTGTGGATCAATTACAAATAATCCTTTCTTTATGTATGGCAAAGAAAAGCTGGGCTAATTTGTGATAAGAATTGTAAAGCCAAAATACTAGAGCTCCTGTATATGTTAGTAGATAAATTTTTTAATATTTTCAAATAACAATAACATTCACAAAATGCTGAACACGTATTTTCTCAAGAAATACCACTTCCAAGAGAATATTAACTGCATTGATAATTAAATGGGAAACACAAGGAAGCTAAGAAATGGAAAGTATAATCAGATTAATACTGCCTGTGCGAAAAGAGTAATGGTTTAAACTGTTCAGAAGAACTTAGTAAAATTACGGAAGTAGGTTTTAGACTTGCATTATAGTAAAATGTAATGTTATAAAAAAAGTATGCAAAACCTTATTTCAAATATTCAGAGGCAAAGTTTAAGGAAATAGTATGTCATGGGGTGGAGGGGGGAACCTCTATATTCACTAGTGTGTGATCAGGGGCTCTGTATTCACTGGGGTGTCTTGGTGGGCTCTGTATTCACTGGGGTACTGATAATTCCTTAGGCTGATAATTTCTAAGACTCATTTATTCAGGCCAAGTATTGTAACATAAATTATTTTACAAAATATTACAGCAAATAATATGTGTAATTTTTGCAGATTCTTACTCATTTGTGAGCTCCTTCCACCCCAAACTTTTTCCCTACTTCCCTTTATTTTATTTTCTCATTTTCTCGATCCTTTTTTTTGAAACAGGGTCTCATTGTGTAGCCTTGACTGGTCTGGAATTCACACTGTAGACCAGGCTGGCCTTAAATTCACAGAGATCCACCTGTCTTTTCCTCTGCCTTTGCACCACTACACCCAACTTGATGATATATTTTATTTATGAATGATTTGGAAAGTAAGAGGTGATTATGCGATTGTGCATGGGTATTAATAAAATTATTTTATGCTAGAATGTATTTATTAGCATTGTAATTAAATGACAGTAATAAACCACAAAGAAAATTATAATAGCAATTACTGAGTTGCTAATGCCTCCCAACGCTATGAAAGTTATGTTGCAGAGTGAGTGGAGAGATGGCTCAATGGTCAAGAGCACTTGCTGCTTTGGCAGGGTTCAGTACCACGGGTGGCTCACAACCACCTGTGACTCCAGCTGCAGGGCACCCGACATCCTCTTCTGGCCTCTGCATACACACAACTAAAAATAAAATCTAAATATTTAAACAAAAATTATTTTGTGATGCAGTCTCACCCCTGCCTCTAATGCTCACATTTTCTGCAGGATCCTAACACTCTACTTGCAATAATAGTTAAGTCGTTTGATAGAAGAGCATCACAATTTTTAAAAGTCCATGTTTGTGGATATGCAGTTTCCAAGTATGACTGAAATGACTCTTCTCTGAAAAAGGCCTTCAAGGGTGTGACCTAGTTTGTCCTGAGATATTACTTTAATTAAAAAATCTTTCATTTATTTTTATTTTATGTGTATGAGTATTTTGCCTACATGTATATAAGTGTACCTGTGTATGCAATGCCCATGGAATCCAGAAGAGGATGTTAGATCCCCTGGAATTGGAGTTATAGACAATTGTTGGTCACCATGTGGGTGCTGGAAACTGAACCTGGGTCCTCTGTGAGAGCAGCCAATGCTCTTAACCAATGAGCCATATCTATAGTCCCCTCTTTAATTTTTTATTTGGTGAACTAAATCTATTTTTATACACATTAAAATAAATGTGGCAATTAAGTCTTCCATGACAGCAGCCATCTGAGAACAAGAAGCATGGCCTGCTTTGTACCAAGGCATATTATTATTATCGTACTCTTATTATCCTGTTATTATCCTACTTTTCAGATGAATCACCAGAGACTCAGGAGAGGGTACATCTTGCCTACTTTTTCAAAATTGATAAAACATAGAAGCAAGCCCGGATATGTTCCTTCTAAATTTTTATTAACATGCATTAATTACACAAAGTAATAGAATTCGCTATTTCCATTGGGTATTCTCAAACACCAATTCTCTTATCCAGTTAAGCTACATTCTGTATACCGACAGGATGAAGAGAATGTGTTCTAAATCAGCTTGGTAGAAACACTGAGTGATTTATAGTGTGATTTTTCTTAGACTTTTCTTCCTCTCCCATGCTTTCTGGCACCAAATAAAATGTGGGGTCCTGTCATGACCATCTCATTACACACACACACACACACACACACACACACACACACACACACATCACCAGGTTTCTTGAACATTTGTACATGGAGCATTCGTGTGCCCTGTTTGGAACTTTGCAATTCTGCATCTCATTTATTTTTCAGTGTCTTCGCACTTGTTTCATTTCATGATGTGCATTTTATTTGAGGTCTTGATACTTGTATCTGTGTTTTTTTACTTTTATTTT